ATAAAAGCTTATTGTTATAAAATGTTATTTTGAAGACAAATATTTTGAAGCTAAATTACAAGAGCTTTAATTTTAGCTATAAAAACAAATGCAAATAATTTCACTACACACTTACATGCATTTGTCTTTATAGTCATAAACAAGTATTTATGTATTTAATTACTTTTATATTTTTATTGTATATTATATTCTATATAATAAAACAATATTCTGCATAATAAAGCAATTATAAATCTAATAAATAAAATGAACATTTACATACAAATACATCAAGAAATATATTTTATTTTCATTTAATATTTTATTGTATGTAATAAAATTATAAAACAAATGAATTATAAATAAATGCAGCATTTACATACACACATCTATAAATATTATACATAAGGACATATATGAATATATGTTTAGTTTTTACAATTGTATTTATTTATTGATTTTTAAAAAAAAATGTATATACAACATAACATTTGCATTCACACACATGCACACACACACACACACACACACACACACGCACCAAGCTAAACCAGATCTAATGCTAGTATTTATTCATCTGACGCCAGCAAGTCCTATAGTGAGGATGGAGACTGTCTGTGTGTGTGTGTGTGTGTGTGTGTGCGTGCACTCAAAAGCTAATCGTGTAAATGTAAAACTGCTGGACTTTCTGCGCGCGCGCGCGCACACACACACACACACACACAAACAAGCCTCCAGCTTTATTACTACAGGCCAGCTTTATTCACAGCCCTTTTTTCTTTTTGATTAAAAACGTCTCCTCCACATGTTGATTTATGAGAGCATGAGCGAGCGAGAGGGAGGCGGTGAGGATGACATCATGCAGTTGGCAACCTCTCGCAGAGGTGACATCCACTCGCTTTGTGTGTCTGTCTGTGTGTGTGTGTGTGTGTGTGTGTGTGTAAGTAAAAGCCTGTGTGCGGCGCAGCTGTACGACACCACGATCACAAATCCACCTGGACGGCGTGTGTGGGCCAAACGGCGCCTTTAAACAGGTGTTCTTAATAACAAAAACCACTTAAAGTCAATACGACACAGATTGCAACACAATTTACATCCACAATTGGATGCCTTTCTGAGCAAAACGAGCTATTCAGAAAATAATATAATAATAATAAGAAGAAGAAAAACAAATGTGATAATTGATTTATCTATGCGATGCTACTTGCTTAACTAGAAGCAAGCAACATTGTCAAATTAGTAGCAGTGTAGCATGAAAACATGCTACTTTGCAGTTTTAATGTCATGTTGCATTGCAACATAGCTGTAGCACAATGCTAGCTGATGCAAATATTATACCATCCTAAAATTTCATTAGAAAATCTGATTTTGTAGTTTTTAATCAGTTAAAAATTTTCTTTTTATTTGTAACTTTAAGTGCAACTGTCACTAAGTGCTAGTGCTAACGTTTACCATCTAAGCGCTAACTGCTTTCCCAAACGACTAGCTTGACTGTTCCTTAATTCTCATATGAAGCATTAGATCTAATATTAGACAGCTAAAAGATCATTTAATCAGTCAGTCAAAAAAGCTTCTTTGTAACTTTAAGTGCAGCTGTCGCTAACGGCTAACTTTTAGCAGCTAAGTGCTAACTCCTTTCCAAAAAGAGTCGCTTGACAGTTTCCAAACTCTCATACAAAGCATTAGGTTTAACAGTGAACAGTTAAAATTGTTCATTTGATTGATTCAGTTATTTTTATCTATAATTTTACATGTAACTGTCGCTAACTGCTAAATTGTAGCAGCTAAGTGCTAACTCCTTTCCAAAAAGAGTCGCTTGACAGTTTCCAAACTCTCATACAAAGCATTAGGTTTAACAGTGAACAGTTAAAACTGTTCATTTGATTGATTCAGTTATTTTTATCTATAATTTTACATGTAACTGTCGCTAACTGCTAAATTTTAACATCTAAATGCTAACTTTTTTTTATCCAAAATAGTAGCATATCATCTTTCGCTTTGCAGCAAACCTTCCAAAATTACTTTCAACTAAAAGTAATACTACTTTCTACTTAAAAGTAAAAACTACTTTCTTCAACACTGAAAATGACAAAAGAATAACAACAAAATGTCCCCCGTTCAGCCGGCTGTGCTGTACGACAACCTGACGAGACAGTAATTAGCGATCAGAGCCTGTGAGAGTACAGCGGACGACATCGCAGCCAATCAGACGGCGCCGTGCGCAGGGTTTCGGTGGCCAGGGGTTTGAGGGGGGATGGAGTGATTACAGCTCTGGGACGATGTGCACTGCCTAGTAAACATCTGAATCACACAGAAGACACAAACACAGACACGCAGAGCAATTGTGAGGGCGTCGCGGTACAAAAACACAGATGGATTGATAGTGAGAAATTATATATCCTATAGTCATAGGCAGCACATCATAAAAAAAATAATAAAACACAAATGTGATCTAGTTAATGTCTCAATTGTTTGTCCTAGTCTACATTGAGCGTAAACAAACAACACATGGTTGAGATTTTACTCATCAGTTCCTGAAGAGATCTCGACAAAGTCTCAAACCGTGCTCAGATTTGTCAGAGATCTCAATATGAACTCAAATATTTCGGATCAAATAATCGATCCACTTCAATTTTATAGCTTTTTTGGTGAGATGAAAAAAAGAGACCCAAATGAGTCCTTAGTTAGGAGTTACTGTATGACAATTATAGACTCATTTTGGGATCTATTTTTTAAGAATATGAGGTGAAACGCAAGTTTACAAATGCAAAAAATAGGCACATTTTGACATTTTTGACGGTTTATCAAATTTTTTGCAATGCAAACGCTTCTAGCTCAATTTAATGTTTATTTGCTTTCTAAAATGCATAATTACAAAGTTTTGCACTATTTTTGTGTTTCTAAACTTTAACTAATTTTGGAGAAAATCCATTTCGCTGCGCTACGTCTAGCCATTTTTTAATGCATCTGCAGGTAACACCTCTTTACAAATGTGAACCTGAAAAAACGTGAATCATATAGTCCGATTAGTCGACTAGACATTCAAGCAACCCACAACTAGTAATAGTTTTGCTCACCCTCATCTCGTCAGACGTACATTAGCTTTTGGGTCGCCTTACAAAACCAACAAACAGGAGAACAGAACAATGTCGGGCACACAAAGACGTGGCGTATCTCACAGCGGCCCATTCTCACGTTATCTCTCGGGCAGCGCTTGAATTACACCTATTTTAGGCTTGAAAGCAGCAGGGGAGGCTTTACCGCCGCTTTCATCCCGCGCTCGCACTCGCCCATCTTTACTTCACTTGACTCTTTGTTTTGTTTCCCTAATGCGTCTCTAAACCCATCTTAGGGGAGAAATGGTGCAGAACAAATCCTGACTTCGAGCCTTGGAAATTAAAAGACAGTGCAGGCCCCGATCCGCCTGATGAAGAGATATACACGCGGAAATAAGAGACGAAATAATCCGATAAACAGTGATCTCGCACTTCATGTCTCTGCGTGTACGGGGAGATCCTGAAACCCACACAGAGTTTTGTTTTAGATGATTATGAAGTCTTAACAACTGTGAATGTGCAAAACCACAGACTTTCAAAATCTAATAGTCGGTTTGGCTGGATGACTAGCTGATTAATCAGTTTAAACAAGTCCTGTATAGCCTAATTAGCTTAGTTTTGGGTTCATTTGACCTAAAGAATACACGTTTTCTGAGAGGATTTAATCATGTAAACCACTGAATAGATAAAACTAATTAAATTACAGTTAATTAAAACTGACGTCACTAAAAGTATCAAAACTAATACAAAAAAAAAAAGTATTATTGAATTTCCTAATCAACTTGCAGGTAAGTAAAGCTTGAGTTCTTAATTTTAAAAACTGTCGCAAACAAAAAGTTCTGAAAGTTTACACAAGTATACCAATGCAAAAAGTCAAATTTCTTAATCGACTGGAAAGAAGGTTAATCAACTAGTTGACCATCATGAACCATCGCCAATGTTAAGAAAAGCTTAAGTTTATTCTTAACCTCAAGATTTGTCTCAAACAAAATGTTTCTTTTAAATATTAAACCTGCCACTCTGCCATGACAGAACTTCTCACAACTGCTCGTAAGAATAGTCCTACTGTTTAATAGTTACGTAATCGTTACGAGAATCAAGGACAATGATATTGACCCTTCAACCACTGAATCAGCCAATATTGGGTCTGTAATGGTAATATGTCAGTGTTGACCCAAAATGGCTGCCCTCAATCACCGAATCAGCCAATATTGGGTCTGCAATTGAAATACGTAAATATTGACACAAAATGGCCGCCCTCAACCATTGAATCAGCCAATATTGGGCGTGCAATGGTAATATGTTAAAGTTGACACAAAACGGCAGCCCTCAACCACTGAATCACCCAATATTGGGCCTGCAAAAGTAATATGTCGATGTCGATCCAAATTGGCCACCCTCAACCACTGATTTGGCCATTATTGGGCCTGCAATGGTAATATGTCAATATTGACACAAAACGGCCACCTTCATCCACTGAATCAGCCAATACTGGGTCTGCAATGGTAATACTTCGATGACGACCCAAAATGGCTGCTCTCCACCACTGAATCAGACAATATTGGGTCTACAATGGTAATACGTCGATGTGAAACCAAAATGACCGCCCTCAACCATTGAATCAGCCAATATTGGGCCTGCAAAGGGAATATGTCGATGTCGAACCAAAATGAATGCCCTCAACCATTGAATCAGCCAGTATTGGGCCTGCAAAGGGAATATGTCGATGTCAAAACAAAATGACCGCCCTCAACCATTGAATCAGCCAATATTTGGCCTGTAAAGGGAATACGTAGACGCTGACCCAAAATGGCCACCCTTAACCACTGAATCTTGAAGTCTTAACATTTGCATGCCACTTACTCTTAATTCTAGAAAAAACAACTGTGTCTATTCTAGACTTTTGACACACTTGAGACTTAAACTTGACTCTTAAACTCAAGTTTCATCTTAGTTTGGTCTTACATAAGGCCAAGGAGCCGGTGAGCAGCGGAGACAGCAGCAGGGCGCTCAGGGAGAGCAGGATGGGCAGGTGGCTGGCTGGCGTCATGTCGTAGATGACCTCTGACCTGTCTGGAGAGCCGTGGCCCCACAGGCTGGAGACGAAGGGTCGGCACACTGGACGTTTGGCACTCTGGAGGAGAGAAAACAGGAGAATCCTTATAAGTAATGGTACTCACTGACAGGTGAGATAAACATGAGTATGTTAACATTGTTTCACCAGTCAACCATCAAGTTCATTCACACACTTTACCAGAACGCTCAGTTTGAGCCTGTTCACATTCCCTCAGACTCCCAATTACAGTTTTACACAACTCATAATTAGTCAGTCTTTATCGCTGGATCTCGTCGTTATTTACTTATCCGCCCATCTTGTAATTACCAAGACACTCATCAAATATTTCAGACGACGTCTCTTTGTTTTAGCCAAATTGCGATTAATCCCCCCGTCACCGCTCCCTGCCTCGGGAGTCGACTCGCGGGTTGCAGTGTTTCTCACACATACGGGGCGGAAACCTGGCGAACGTGCTTGTACACCATTTAATTAAAGATGGCAAGAACATCAGATGGCAAGATGGCAAGAGACGCGCAAACACGTGTAGTTGCTTTCGGAAGCACTTGCTCACGTTGAGAATGAAAGAGATGTTGACATGAAGCGATGAGACTCTGTAAAGAGTGACTGTGGCATCTGTAGATGAACCTCCAGGCCTGTGTGACTCAGTAAGGGTGTTCAAACAAGACACAGTATAAGCTGGCACTTTTTAAATTTGTGCCCTGGGGATCTGGTGGAGGACCAACAGTGGAAGTCAAGCAACTACTAAATGGGCTGTCAAATGGCTGATATTAAAAGTCTATAATATTTTGTCTAAATAAATTAGAATATAAAAAAAACAAAATCACTAAATGTTATGAGTAAATTAATTTTAAATAAAATAATTACAAATATATAATTTTTTTTTAAAGGTTAACTTAGTGTTAAATGATGGCAAACATAATTTAAATGTAAAAAAAAAAAAACGATAAATGAGCATGTATAATTAAATATCCAATATCGCCCAATATGGATAATAAAATAAAATAAAATAAAATAAAAATTATATGGTCACAGACACACGGGGCTTTTTTAATAAAAATAAGTATTACAATATTTTTTTAATACTGTATAAAATATTATAAAGACAACATGAACTGATAAATGTATAAATAAATTAGAAATAGAATTTAGGCATCACATTACAAAATGTAGTATAAAAAAATAAATATTTTTTTATGGATTCATTTTAAGTGAGTGCTAGATTATAGCAAATGTCATTTAAAATGTGAAAGAAGGAAATGAACATTTATATTTAAATATACAATACTTACAGATAAATGGATTAATATAATTTTTTTTAAATAAATATATAAATTGTCCAATGAATGGCCAAAAACCAATATAGTTTGGACATATCATGTATTCCCAATAAAAATAAATGCTGACAGTATTTGTATAATATTGCATAAAATACTATTATTATAATACTATATCAAATATTATTATAATAATTTGTAATTATGGTATTATTTATAATATTTATAACAATAATAATGTAATGGGATTTTAAAAAATTAAAGAGAAGTCTCAAACACTTTGTAACCCTTCAGCAACACTGAAAACTAAACAGTCAAATGTCACCAAGAAGCCAAGATTTATGATTGTGGGTGCCGACATAACGCACTGCAACAGTCCACTATTGTTCTACTCCCCAGAGGGCACGTGAGACACTTCAGACTTTCATAATAAGTCTATTGTGTCCTTCTGCTGAGATCAACACAATAACACAGTCATCACATCCACACACACAGTGTCAGTCTGCACTGCTATTTGTGCTCCTCTAGTGTGGAGTGTTACATTTCCAGAGAGCCTGGAAGTCATAATGCGTGAGTGAGGACCTAAAGACAGCTGGCTTGTCAACTTGGGGTTTCCTGTCAACCTGCATGGTGACACTTGAAATTCTGCCCCACATAAACAATTGAAAACGTCAGTCGAGGGATTCATCTCTGGAGTGCCACAAGCATAGGGCCAAGGCAGGCACGGCATGCTCAGACAAAGAGGAGGAATATGTCCACCCTGATTTACGATGCTCCTCTACGCTGGCTGTCCAAATCAGATTCCAAATGCAGTTCCTGTTTACCATGTCTGGAATGTGAAGGTTTGAAGTTTCATTGCAACAATGAGCTAAAACGAAACAATGGATCCCCCCAAACAATCTTAATAACAAATGCAACCATGTTGCATTCATCAAAGGCAGACAATTTGTGTCATGCTTGGTGTGAAGCGATTCAATTTCACGAATGCAGCATTTGTTAACAATGGTGCAAAATTTGGTGCAAAAGTTTATGAAACCTACTGACGCCAGAATATAGGTGTTTCTCGAATCAAATGCTCTCAATTCACGTGCCCCACCTTGGCTAGCCCTCAAAGGCTGGGAAAACAGGCGCATTTCAACCGCACCGTCATGCAATATGCACAAGGACCTGTGTGTATGAATAATTGAGCTGTACGGAGAGGCGAATGTTATGGACTTTTTGGGGAGCGACACTACATGCACAGCGACTCTGCAAAAACGCTCAACCACTGGTAACAAACTTTTGCGTCATGCCATTATGGTTTGGCATGCCATTCCTAACAATGTGTTGCATGCATTATGCAAAATCGTGCCACACTCAGTACATACTAAACAGTTTTGGTGTGAAACCCCACACCTCCAAACTACAAAGCATGCAAATATTCCAGGCTTTTTTAAACAAGCCATTATGAGCCAAGGATACACAGTGCCTGCGGATACCAGCATTGCAACCACTGACAGTCAGTCGAGCGGCTCTTGAGACGTGCATATATGTGTGCCCAGGTCTTTTATCTTCAGTTCTATCTCCTATCTTTCTTGCTACCTCCAGCCAATGGCGATATGCCGTATGAGTGTGTGTTTTCTTTTTAATGCAGAGTACCAGCAGTCAGATGCAATCAGGGCTGCGCTCATGACTGGCTGGCTTCCTAATCCTGCACGTTTCCATGCATTATTAATGCTAACATGTTGGATTCGGCACTAAAACGGAGAGATATGACAATAGACAGAAAAGAGAGTGAAAGGTTGAAAGATCTGGCATTTCAAACTGGGGTACACGAAAAGATGCATGCCCTGCAGTCGCAGGAATAATAGGCATGTTAAAATGAGGCAAGCACGTCAAAACTGCGTTCTAGCGTGTGAACAGAAATATCAAAACATCATCTTCTAAATGAGCGCTGAAGAAGAGTCGTAAACAACTTCCAAGTTCAAACTGTGGTTGTGGAAGGCGCATGCTGCATTTAATGCACTTGCATGATTATGAAATCCGCAGTGCTGAGAAACAAAGACAGAAAGACAGCCAGCGCTGTGAGTTTATGTGCATGTACGTTAAGTAGTTCATCCTGGTTTTTGCAATTATTGACGCAAGAATGCAAAAATCTGGTAGCAGCTCATGCCGACAACGGAACTACCGTGCAGATGCTTAGAAAAGAAACAGATGCAGCTGCATAACAACTGGGAGGACAACAGTGTGTGTGTGTAATTTTTAATGCTGGATAATCAGAGGAGGAAGCCAGTTCAGAGTCCCCAGTGAGTCTGTGTGAGGGAAGAAACCATGGCGTACGTCCAATTAAAACTCCCAATTAAGCGCCCCAGAGAGCGTTCCTCAATATTGAGATCAAACCGCTGATAACTGCGCAATTGGGCGTGATCGCAAAGACACCGCGCTACAACTTGTCTGCAACGCTCTCTTAACCCCTTTAGTCACCTTTGACTCTCGATACTGTAGATGACGGCATGCTAACAGGGCTGCTAACATCACAATCTGCAATCTCTGAAGCTAACAAATGCTACAAAGGAAGATTTATCAGCTTCACATGCATTCGAAGCTAACGAATGCTAATTACACGTCTACATTATAGCTAAAGAAGTGATGCACGCTGTGAAGTGAGTAGCATGTCATTATGCACAATACCACCTCCAAAAACAAGTGGAAAAGAACACGGGGTCCTGATTTTTCGCTAGTAAAATGGGCCGTCTGATTATACGCGTGCTAAAAACGTAATGGTTTAAAACCAGATTCAAGACAAAAGACCTCAGAGGGGTCTCATAAAACAATGCCGTGGCCATTTCTATTTACGAGCGAATGTAATATCCCTTAAAGAGCCCCTTGTAATGGCGCAGTTCCCTACGTATGCTACAGGCAACAGAGGCCCTTGTGAATGGCTCTTGATTCAGTCCAGTTATCAAGGACACACACTCCTCCTGCGGTCACACACACTTATGTGTCTGTCCGCAGCCATAAAGTGCGAGAGCTCGAGCACACACACATCTGGCTTTCATGTCAGTGCCAGATTTGACTGTGTAGTCCAGGTGGCTTGAGTTCATGTTTGTCTTTCTTTGCTGTCCAAGCTGCCATTTTGAATAGTGCACAGAGAGAGGCCAAGCGTCCGTCCCTACGGCAAATTCAGCCAGAGGTGCTTTCACAATTCAACTACCATTTCCACTTCAGTTCTGACAATATAGCTGACATTTAAAGTCAGTAGTAAACCCAAGTTTGTATTGTTTAAAACAAGTATACGAAAAACACTGTGAAATCCAATAACAAGCACCTGGAAAGTTGCAGCACTGGTGACGTGCATTAATTGTGACACAAAAACAATACTGATCTGATGGAACTTCCTACCTCACAGGAAGCATTTAATGATACTTTACCACTTACTTTCCTTGCTTTCTGCCCTAAAATATCACTAGTAGAGAGTAAATGTCACAAAAAAAAAAAACATACAAGTATTTTTTCAAATTAAAATAATAAAGTTAAATAATAAATGTAATAATAATAATAATGATTATTATTATTATTAGTAGTAGTAGTAGTAGTAGTAGTAGTAGTAGTATAACTATGATAATAATTATTATTAATAATATAAATATAACTTAAAATGCAATGATTAAAATACATAACATTAATATTACAGCATATTAAATACAAGGCAAGAAGTACAATAGATATATAGATAGATAGATAGATAGATAGATAGATAGATAGACTTCATTTTATCTGTAATCTACAATTTCTTATTTATGA